TTGTGTTTTCACTGAGTTACATATACCCGATGATGAGTGGCCGCCGTATCTAATAGTACATACTATACCTAAATATTTCTAGCGGATTATATTTGACGATTTTGGCTGTTCTTTTCTTGGCATATTTTGGATTGCATTTGCTTTGTTTCGGTTTAGTAGTTTTGGTTATAGACTCTGCTTTGTATTTGGCATTTGTTTTGTTTTCGTTTGGTTTAAGTATAGGTTTTGTCGGTTAGACTTTTTTAAAATGGCTAAAGAAAATCTGAACGTTAATGGAGAAGTTGAAGAATGTACTGTCGTCCCTATTGTTGGTGACGGTGCATGTTTGTTTCGTGCTCTCTCTTAATAATACTTCTTAACGCGAGCGAAGCCGCTGGCAAAAGCTAGTAAATAATAAAGTTAAAAACAGAATAGATATTCCAAACATAAACTTGGATAAAATTTGCATATTGATTTGAATTAACTAACCTATACCAACTTATATATCTAGCATCAACTAAAAATAATATAATATTTTAGTTTTAGTCTGTCAAAAGTCAAAACTACATGATTATTTGTATTTCATATTACTTGATTATATGCAACTTTAATGATAATAAAAAGAAAATAAGACTGAATAAATAAAGCTATAAGTTTTTCTAATAATTTCAGTTTGAATTATCAATTTAATCAATCAATTAGTATGACTTAAGTACATTTTAGAGAATAAACAATTATCATGCCTTAGTTCTTTGGTACTTGCATTTTGGATCACATATTGAAAGTGAATTAGAATTAATTTTATTTCCACAATTAACTGAAACTGCTTTGATAAAGTTAGTAACTCATTTAATAAAAAAAATTTCATTTGTCCTATGTGAAAGACTGAAAGTAAAACAAATAATAACAATAAATAAATAAACATAATCAAAATCAATGTATTCAACATATACTGAACAAAAAATTTTCCATTGAATCAAGAAAAAATTAATGAAAAATCCAGTATTTTTCATTAATTTTTTCTTGATTCATACTGAATTTTAATTTAATCTACAATTATTTTATTATAAAGAACTTCTCTAGATTAAATTAAAATTAAGTATAAATAAAAAAAGTTAAATAAATGAAAAATATTGAGAAAAAAAACTAAGAAAAAAGATTGTGAAATTCTATCTTAATCAATGTTATTTATGTAATACAAGATGTAATCATTTTATTTAAGGAATTAATAACAATGTATATTTATTATTATATCAACTATTCAATTTTTGTTAATATACTTGTATTTATGATTTATATTCTCCAATAAAATGCTAACTCTCATTAATGCAATGTTTTACATCAAAAACAATTTTAGATAACAAACAATACTGCTCTTTATTTTTTATTTTAGAATTACAAAAAATAATAATCTTTTGATTTTTTTTACTTATACATGTACACATTATTTTATATGATTAATCAAGTCTTTACTGTATTTACATTTGATATTAATTTTCTATAGTTTTTACAATGTAAATTCATTGCAACAACTATATAAATAAAAATTAAATAATAAGAATGAATATTAATAAAATAATTCATATTTATTTGTTTAAAAACATCAAAATAACAAAATGTGATATTAGTTACTTATTAAAGCTAGATTATAATTAATTCTACTACAAAACAATTTCAGAATAAAATTTACCTTCTTTATTTGTATTTCCATCTTGTAATATTTCTATATCTCTTTCAAATCTGTTTTTTGTGTCCTAGAATTATTTTGAAATTTTAATATATAGTAAATTACAATATTTTTAATATTTATATTAAATATGATTTTAAAAACGAATACCGAATGTCCATATAAAATTGGATTGTATTCAATTGGTGATTTTTTGTTAGGTGAAGAATCAGTACTAGATAAGTATTCTAATTTTTCTTCCAATATATCCAATCGCCCATCTGGAACAGATAACTGACTAATACCAGAATCTTGAGAAGCAGTATCCCTTAACTGTTGTTGTTCTCCTAATAGACGACGACTATCTTTACTACTATCTTTTCCATTATACTCTTGTTCTATTCTTTCAAGACTGTATTTCTGAATTTCTGCTGTTGTCTTTTTCAAAGAATTATATATTTCTTCAGGATTAAGATTTTCTGTGTCATCAGATTCAAATGAGTTATTCTGTGACCCAATTGTATGAAACCTGCATTTATTTAGAAGTTATATGTGAATATTTCTTTTTATATTTGTACAAAATATGCTTATAATTATATTTCAAAAGCATTTACTTATTACCAAAATTTTTAATTATTAAAAGATAATTTCAGTGTTAATTCTTAAAAATTTAAGGAAACACATAATGTTGATTATAAATGACAAATTAATGTACAAACTTGAAAAACNTATATAAAAAATCTTGTGTTTTTGGTTATGCCAATTAATTTTCTATTGGTAAAAATATTTGTAACAGTTGTAAGAATTATCAGCCAATAAGAAAGAGGTTCAAAAATCATGATGACAATTTTACATTTGACACTGCATTATTATTGCAATGAAGATATTAGAATCTGATATATTCATATATACTTTAAAAAACACAGAAATTTTAAACTATTTGATTCTCATATATATCAGGCATTTAATTAAATTTACTCTTAATAATTAAAATTTTTAATTATGAGAAGAATGGACAGTATTAATCAACAATTTTATCAAACCAAAAATTACAATGATGCAACTAAATCAGAAATCTTGCATCTGATTTAGCAACATCAAAATTCCTTCCAATAATCTCAGATAAAACAAAATTTATTTCTGTTATGAAAGAATATTTGAATCTGAATACTTGCCAACAGAAGAATTATTTACAAGAAATAAAAAAAGTTATTGTACTCAATGAATTAAAATTTAGTGAAAGACTAATTTAAAGCAATTTTTGAAAATGGAATAAATAAATGTATAAAAATAAAATGCATCTTATTTAAATTATTATTATTTCATACACTACCGTATTAGCCCGAATATAACGCAACTCCAAAATTTTCATACAGATATTTAGAAAAAAAATAATTCTCATAAAAGAATTCAAAGAAAGTAAAATTCAATCAGATAAGCATTTATTTAGGTAATTATAGCTAATAACACAGGTTACATTCAGGTCAATAAAATTAAGTAATGTAAAACAAAATTAATATTACGTAAGTAACAACAAAAAACAGAAATGTTTATTCAGAATCTGAACTGTTTTCAGAATGAGAACTCATTGATGTTACATCGGTATCATCAGTATTTTCATTCACGCTTTCAGTCTCCCACAAAATGTCATCTTCCATCCCATTTAAATCATTGGAAATGCAGCATTTCTTGAAACCTTTAACTATCGATTCAGGTTCGATCTTCTGCCAGGTAGTCACAATCCATTCTCCTAAAAGAGAGACTGAGGGTTTTTTTATTTTTCCAGGTGTCAATGGATGATGCCCAATAATAGCCAATTGTTGTATTCTTTTCAAAGGTTCTCTTTAAATGGTTTATTAACCACCACATCCAAGACTTGCAACTGAGAAGTCATACCACCCGGTATTATTACAAGATCGGAATTCAATGCCTCAATTTTTTCCTTAACACTTGTCGTAAGGTGGCCTTGAAATGCATCAAGGACTAGCATGGAGCAGGAGTTTCTCAGAGAACCTGGCCATTTCTCCCATATCACATTCAACCAGTCTAATACCAACTACTCTGTCATCCAACCTTTTTCTTGGACCCAAAAAACAATTCCTGGACACAGCTTTTCTTTGGGCATTGTTTTACGTTTCAATATAACGTAAAGTCGAAGCTTTTGTCCGTCAGCAGTAACAGCAAGCATAACAGTAATTCTGCACTTTTCATAACCAGCTGACTTCAATAAGACCATTTTTTCACCTTTCTTATTTACCGTAAGGTCGGAAGGCATGTCAAAATAGACTGGTGTTTGGTCTGCATTTTCCATATTTCCAAGACTGTAGTTGTGCTTTTTGCGTAATGATATAACATGGCACTGATAAGCCAACAATTTTTCACGAAAGTCATCAGGAAGTTTTTGCGCGAGAGTTGTCCGCCATCGTAGTGATAAACCGTTCCTTTTCATCATTCTTCTACACCAACCCATACTTGCTTTAAAGTCCTTTCTAGGAATGTTTAAATTAGCAGCCTCTTCTAACGCTTTAAATCTTATGACTTCACGGGATATTGGGCACCCTTCATTTCGCTTTTCTATTACGAATTTTAACACTCGCTGCTCAACTTCATTAAACCTTCCTTTTTTAGGTCCACTAAAAGATTTTCTTGAAGAATTTGCATTCTTATATTTCCTTAAATCTTTTCTACATAGGCGGATGTTTACTTCTGGAACTCCGTATTTCCTCGAAGCTCTCAAGTTGTTCGTTCTTTCTGCCTCGTTTGCAACCATAATTTTAAAATCCATATCGTAGGTTCTCCTGGTACCTTTATTTATTTGACTCTTTGATGAGCCTTTTTTCTCAACACTACCTTTATTACTCGCACTCATTTTTTATGGGCAATAAAGAAAAAAGTAAAGTAACCACCACTAGTCACTAGAGCAAAAAACAAATGAGACAAAACAGTTGCGTGAGACGTTAACAAGCGGAGACATAGTGTCAGGATAAAATTGTCGAGACGGACGATTTCCCGCGCTTTTCTGTCTTTTCAAACGAACAGCGGTTGTCACCATAGGAACACCGATCAGGCGGTTTTGGAAACTAGACTGCGGATTGGCCGGAAAACATCATACGACCTGTGGACCTCTGATAAGAGCTACTAGGTGCTGATTGGTGGATTTGCCTATGCTCCAATCCATATATAAGAACTAAGTTTAAGCGGGATTTTTAGATTTCTCCTACAACCTGCTAATAGAACTCATGTTGACCAGAAGTCAGCAAAAGCACATTGTAGTCCATCATTAAGAGTTTCAGTGGACTCGCTGAAGGAGTTGTTTCGGTTCACCGACTTGTAAAGGACATTTCCTCAGGGGAAGGAGNCTGCTCAACTTCATTAAACCTTCCTTTTTTAGGTCCACTAAAAGATTTTCTTGAAGAATTTGCATTCTTATATTTCCTTAAATCTTTTCTACATAGGCGGATGTTTACTTCTGGAACTCCGTATTTCCTCGAAGCTCTCAAGTTGTTCGTTCTTTCTGCCTCGTTTGCAACCATAATTTTAAAATCCATATCGTAGGTTCTCCTGGTACCTTTATTTATTTGACTCTTTGATGAGCCTTTTTTCTCAACACTACCTTTATTACTCACACTCATTTTTTATGGGCAATAAAGAAAAAAGTAAAGTAACCATCACTAGTCACTAGAGCAAAAAACATGAAACAAAACAGTTGCGTGAGACGTTAACAAGCGGAGACATAGTGTCGGGATAAAATTGTCGAGACGGACGATTTCCCGCGCTTTTCTGTCTTTTCAAACGAACAGCGGTTGTCACCATAGGAACACCGATCAGGCGGTTTTGGAAACTAGACTGCGGATTGGCCGGAAAACATCGTACGACCTGTGGACCTCTGATAAGAGCTACTAGGTGCTGATTGGTGGATTTGCCTATGCTCCAATCCATATATAAGAACTAAGTTTAAGCGGGATTTTTAGATTTCTCCTACAACCTGCTAATAGAACTCATGTTGACCAGAAGTCAGCAAAAGCACATTGTAGTCCATCATTAAGAGTTTCAGCGGACTCGCTGAAGGAGTTGTTTCGGTTCACCGACTTGTAAAGGACATTTCCTCAGGGGAAGGAGTTCGTCACAAGGTGTCCTTTTCAACAGACCTGTTGTCGTGATTTACTTGACGTTTGAACTCTGTTACACCTGAAGTATTGTAATTGTTTTGTTTTGTGAACTTTTGTAACTGTATATACGTTTTACTCATAATATAAACATTTTGTGGAAATTCAACAATGTCATCTAGTTTTGAATGTGACTCATAGCCTTACTATAGTAACGCAGGCCTACTACCGGTAACTAGATCACATGGTGTTTTGAAGTGGTCGGTCGAGCTAGGAATTGGTCGGACGTTCAGTCACGTTTCAACCTCTGTAGGAAAATGTCCTTGTTTATATTACATTCCATTACTTAAACCCTGAATTTAGCACGAGTCGATTTTTTAACGGAAAATAAATGGTCGAAAAATATCGCGTTATATTTGGGCTAATACGGTACTTGTGATTTATTATTCAGTTCAGTGAGAAATATTTCAATAATAGCATTTTGTGTATCATTAATAGTTCATATAAAGCAATATGGTAATGAAATAATATCCTTGAATTTTACATTACAAGGTGGTTCTCTATTTTTGTACAATTTGCTGTTTGTACACATTTTGTACTTTGATTTTCTTGATATATATAGCAAAATGCTCATACTTTTGCGAAATGATTCTTCCCTTCTCATGAACTATTAGTCTCTCCCCACCTCTCCAATGTTAATCACATCCATTTTTGAGTCACAGGTTCAGTCTTGAGCAGGGACATCTTGAGTTAGCCTCCATGCATCTTGACAAATTTTTTGACCATCATGGAAAAATGTGATTCAATGGAGAGCATATATCATGTACAAAAGGAAATAGAAAAAGATAGCACAACTCTTTACAGAACTATCAAGAAAAGAAAAAGAAGAGTACAGTTCAGTTATCTCTTGACAAATTTATAAAGAAATCACCAGATACATATCAATAAAAAATAAATATTTTGAAAACCTTTTTTGATGTTTTTTTACATTGCTCTACTTTCATACATTTCAACTTTCATTTATATTTCAGAAACCAATTAGATACAAAAGTAGAGAACCATCTGTACTTATATCTTAAGTTAATAACTAAAAATAATATCAAATTTAATAACAAATAAAGTGAATATTTTTTCATTGTCATTTCATGAAATGATATCTAATTAGAGACTCAATCATTATGTTAAAGCTTATCTCCCAATGAGATATTTTTTAGTTACAATTCCATACTAAATTTCAGTTTTGAAAACAAGAAATTTATTTCATCCAAATAAAAACATTATGAAATTTATCTTTATCTTAAAAGCAGATTTTCACTTAAGAAACTTTATATGTTTTATATTATTTCTCATGACTTTTTATTAAGATAATTTCTAAATTATTTTTAAATTTTTTAATATTTCTCCACTAGTTTCAAAAATCTTTTATTAAAATACACAAATAGTTTCAAAAATTAACAACTAATCATTTGAATTTTAATGAAATATTTTATAACTAGGAAAATCAGAAATTTGTCATTAAATCATTGTATCATAAATAATGGAAACAAAATAAAAAATATAATAAGGACTGCATTCTTAAAGAAAAATATCAATTTTTAACAGTTCTTAATAAATACAGTGGAACCTTGGTATACGACCTTAATCCGTTCCTGATGTTTAGACTTATATCGAATAGGACATATACCAAACCAACCTTTCCCATAAGAAGTAATGTAAAAACGATTAATCCGTTCTCATGTAAAAAAAGTGGCTGGCTTGAAACACCTCGCTTTCCTGGCTAGTTCCTGCTTGATTTTTCATGAGATCAGCATGTATCTTTTTAGCTTGCTCGCAAATAATTGCTTCTGATACGATGTCTCCAGCACACTTTTTCAGTTATCCAAAGCAAAAGCATTTTCTCAACATGATCTAATGTCTTTGATCTCTGTTTAGAAATTATTTAACCCCTTTCGCAACCATAGCAGATTTAATAATGTTTTTATTTTTCACGATTGTCGATATCACCGTTCTCCGAATGCAATATGCAACAGTTAAAATCTCAAACATGCGTAAAACCTTCATATTTCTCAACAATCTCTTTTTTCAGTTCCATTGTGATTATAGTCATTTTTTTAGTTTTCTGTTGCTTCTCATTTGCCTTTTTGCAATTCATGATTATTAAAAATAATAAAATTTTACTTACAAATTAAAATCAGAAAAAATTTAACAAAGTTATAAACTGTGGCACTGCGAACGTCTAGTCTGATCTAGTACACCGATAGTGCTACTTGTTCATAGATGGCACATATAATTGAATTAAGTTGTATACCGAGCAAAATTTGTTTCGTCCAAACAGGACATATTCCGAATTGGACATATTCTAAAGCAGACATATACCGAGGTACCACTGTATTTAGATAACACCACACACTATTTGCATTTTGCACTCATAAAAACATATATAAAAAACATTGATAACGGCCAGAAAAAAACAATATAGTTTAAACTTAATGTATAATATTAATATTCAATATAATTACTGAAATACAATCAAAATTAGGATTTTACTATTTAACAGACTTGGACTTCTCTTGTAATCACTCTACATTAAAAATAATCTCATGATTGAAAAATAAACAGTATTTACTTACATCACTATCTTCTATTGTTTCTATGAGCAATCTGAGAACAGTTCGAAAATGTTCTTCCCACAGAATAGAAGATCCTTCTTTTGTTAAATTTATCAAGTGAGATAAGGCTTTTTTTCTCTGTTCATTTCTTAAATTAAAAATAATATTGATTAGCCACTAAATCATTAAATAATTAAAATACTGTTATTTTAAAAAATGTTTTAAGAATATGACACAATATAAATATATGTATTTATTAGAATTCTTAAACTAATATTTTTGTAAGTGACTATGGTAAACAAACAAATATATAAAATCATTTAAAAAATAATGTAATGAATTATGATGAAAAATTTAATATAATCACAAAAATGGTTTATATTTTTGATAATATATTTTAATTTGTATTCTTCAAACATTATTAAAGTTTAAAAAATGTCATACAAATATAAAAATTGCTTTCACTTTATAGTTAGAAACAAAAATAAAAAATGTTAAATTCCTTATAGTTCATTAACTGTTTGTAATATATTAAAATTATTCACTTAAGTCAATAATGCTAACTAAAAAAATAATATAAAAACATACTAAATATTAATTATACTTATATAATTATATATTTATTATTTCCCACAGTATGATGCTGAATATTTTTTTGATCATGCTTAATTAGCTACATTTTACAAATTTCTCAAATTTTCTAAATCTAAAAGTTTGTAAAATGTAGCTAATCAAACATGATCTACTTTATTTAACACTTTACTTTATTAAACGTGATGCTAGTTTAAGAAAGATCATCATGTAGAGCTATTATAACTTTTATAATAGCTCTACATAATGAAAACTTTTGAACTGAAATAACATGACTTCCAGTTTTGTATTGGAAGTTCTTATATAGTTAATCAGTGCCTCCTGCCCCTAAGGTTTTGATATTTGGTCTCATCTTTCATCTATCTAACTATGTTCGAGATTAAGGAAAGATGGATGGACAGACATATGAAAGTGGGAATCTATAGATNTTATCATAAAATAAAGTGAAATGTTTTTATTAAAAACTTTTAGTTTTGGATCTCTTACATTTCTCGGAAAAAAGTATCCATCTTTAATTGTTTACATTTTTGTTTTCTTTCATTGAGAATTTCGGAATTTGGTTGAATGGATGCAATGATGCTCCTTTTTACATTAGCACTTTGCTCCCAATTATTGTCTAACTCACAAAGTTCATCTGTCAAACTTTCCATAGTTGAAAGGATACGCTTTAGATCGGCCATTTTCATAATTCTTGGAGTTTCTTCTTTGTCATTCTTCTGTAGTTCTATGTCTGGTGCGTAGCTCATTCAAATCTAATGGTTTGTGAAACGTTCTCTATTGGTCTAGATCTGACCAATTACGAGCCACAATTCTGCCATGACACGTGGTGTCATAGTGGACTCCTGTCTCACTAGGATTGGTCAAATCTGGACATAATCTAGTCAAATCTAGCATAGGAAAAATTGGGGAATTACACAGTAAAACGACAAATTGCACAGCATCATTATTGTGAATCGGCGTAAACTGAGGGCTATCTGTATTTTGATTTGAATATTTGAATTCATATATTGTATTATTTTACATCTATTATGATCCATTCCATAACTGCACTATCAAAACAACAAACACTGAACCATAAATTATGTAATAAAATATTTACTAATCAAACATTTTTGGTTTTTTTCATTGACCTTCATCAGAAAATATATACATTATATAATTTAACAAGAAAGAACAAAGCCACCCATATTCTAAAAACAGTTTTACAACATTCCATTTTTGGAACAAGACAAATTTTAAAAAAATGCATGTGCCATTTTTTTACATATAGCATGGAATATCATATGATGCATTACAAAAAAAAAACAACATATATAAAATCTATTTTATACATAGTAAAATAAACCATGAATAAAAACACTAAATTATACTGTGAGATCCCAGGCTATAGTTTTTATAAAAATAATAATAATCTTATAATTTATTAAAATAATTGTTAGCAAAAAAGAAAATTTTAGAAAAAATGATGAGGAAATAACATAGAAACAAGAAATAAAAGCAAATTTTCTTTCTTTTCTGGAAGAATGAACACAGCTGTCTGAAACTAATATGGCCTATGGAGACATCAGTAAGGAAGGTATTGGTATCATGCAACATAGAGTGCACTTTGGAAAACAGCATTAACATCATGGCTGATCCCTTAAGAGATTGCATCACAGAGAAGCAGCATTCAGTGATTATGTTTTCGTGGATTAGATGAGTGAAGCAGGGATTCACAGAAAAATGATGAAGTAGTATAATGAGCACTGTTTAAGAGAAAGAAAAGTCTTCTATTTCAATAGAAAGATTTTAAAGAAACAATGAACATTTGTCATTAATAAAGATACTCATGTACAGTACAGTACCTCTCTACAGTCATGACATAAATGATGTAATTCTCAAACACTACAAGAAGAAAGGAGAAATAGTAAAAAGTATTTAGTACTATATCATGTTTAATGACAAACTGAAGTCTGTAATTCTGCTTGTTGCAAAGGACTTTTATATAAATATGTCCTTATCATCAATGATATTGAACAGCAACATACTGAAATTGTTCTGTCATTAGAACCTAAATTTTGAGATCCCACCTCATCATCCTTATAGTCTAGGTCAGGGGTAAGCAACCATTGGCATGCAGGCCATCAACTTTTTCCAATATTGCAACTCAAGACTCAACGCACCTTAAAAAATAAATATCCAACATATTTTATTTAACTTAAGTTGCTGAATTGTACATTAACTTAATAAAGCAACTTTATTGGGAAAATTAAAAATTTGAAGAAACTAAATCATCCTCCTTTCCACCACATCCAATCAACAGGAACAAAAGCAGTCTTTCTATGCAGGTTGGCTTATCATCAGTGAATATTTTAACTGTTTTACATAATTCTGCAGAGGCATAGCCTCCAATAAAAGGTCAGTCATTTCTGCAAAGAAAGACTGTTTTTGTTCCTGGTGATTGGATATGGCAGAAAGGAAGATGACTTAGTTTCTTCAAATTTTTAATTTTTCTAAAAAATACTGTAATCCATTTTAAAATCAACTTTACTGAGTAAAGCAATACCAAATAAAGAAACAATCAACTGTTTTAATAACAAGTAGTAAGAAAATGAAATAAACATCCTATGCCAGCAATCAGTAACCGGTGGTCCGTGATGTAATTTTAATGGTTTGCAAAGAAATTCAGATTATTATTTAAATTATTTTTTAAAATGGATAAAAAATATAACTAAAGCTAGTAAAAACACATACTACAAAAATCAAAAATTTTGAGTATTTTACAGCTATAGTAGCAGTGTGTGCAACTGGTTTGCATAGAAGTGTTAAAGATGAACTACACTTCATGCCAACTTTTAAATATAATAACTACACTTGAGTGTTGTGGTGTTACCAATAACAACTTTTAGAGTATAAGGGTGTTTGCTAGCACTTTTGGTAGCATAAAGTTACCATCATCAGGTAAATATTGAATACAACTGCTATCAAATTTTAAGCTCTTGAACAGCTTTATGAAATAAAATAAGAGCATGGATGGAATACCAATATGAATTTGAAATATAGCAATGTTCTAAACTTATGAATAGCATTATAAATAATGTAATTTCCCAAATACAAAGTGAGCAATATAAATGATCATGCGAAAAGGAATTAAAATTGTGGATTGGATTGCTTCAATAATATTATCCACAATTGTGGGATTTCAAGGGTTGATGTGTTGCACAATGTTATAGCAGATATGTAGAGGTTCTCCCAAATAAATAATTCTTTCTAATTGTTGCACCATTTGAGTAATTTTGTTTGGGCCCAGAGTGGACAATAATCTTGGTCATGTATTTTTTTGGTTAATTCTGTTGATGGCCTACTGTTTCTGCTATCCTCCTGATGTTCTAGGATGTAAGAACTTAACATTCTGGTCCTGGCAGAGCATGTTTTAATGGAATTTGATAAACCCCAGATTTTTCATTCAATTTAAAAATATCTGTCGTTGCACAATAATATTCTTAGAGTTGGTTGTGGGGTTATTGGTAAAATGAAATCATTTGTTCTAATAAGATGTACAGTGGAACCTTGCTTTACGAGTGTTTCGCATAACAAGCAAAACAAATTGTATAAAACTGCCTCGCTTAATGAGCAATATTTTGCATAACGAGTGATGAGGAGAGGAAAGTCCCGAATTGTGCGTCATCAGTCTGTGTTTAACACTCATTCCGCTATCATCTTAATGTTGCTTGTGTTCACACATATTACTTTTAAACATCAACAACCATAGCCCATTATATAATAAACATGTCAAATGATATCTTGTATTAAATTTAATGACCAATTCCAAATTAAATTTTAGAAATATCTGAATTAAAAATTAACTATTTATAATTATTAAATTTAATACGAGATGGAAGCATAACTGTCTACATACAGTCAAATTAATTAATTTCTAATATTTAATTATAGCCTTTACATAGCCAAAGAATTTGAAAAAGTCTCTCAATACTCCCAAAAATTTTAGTTGGCATGTGAGAAAATTTTGTATCACAGATTTGGTGATTTTGGCATGTGTACTTAAAAGGTGCCCACCTGGCCTAGATCAGCAACAATAAACTTTTTTTCTGAAGGGGTGTCAAAATTGAATGCAAAATTTAGTAACTCAAAAGCATAAGTCAAATATTTAATTTTCATAATTACACACCAAAAAAAAAAACTGCCTACAAATTTTATTTTATTTAACTTTCTAATCTATATCAGAAAATAATAATAAACTCTATATAAGTGAAAAAAACAATAATGTGATAATAACAGAAAGAAATATTTTATTTTATGGAAAATCTGCTATTATTTATTTGATGATAATTTATCTGTTTAGGTTCATAATTAGTAGCCTTTAAGACTTTTCATGACAGTTTTAAGATGCTGCTTTCATGTTATATATGCAAAGTTTTGAGATCTACCAAATATTTTTTTATAATTTTTATAAAACCCTATGCTTTCTAAACATCCAACACAGATCCTTTGAATTATCATACAAGTCACAAGATCTAAACCATCACTGGACTATCTCACATGTTTATCTCTCTCCTCTATCATGTGTTTGACATTGACAAGCTCAAAATATTTCAAAGCTAGAGTTCAGCATTGACAATGCCGTGAAGGACAATGCATGTGGAAAAAAAAAATATATTTGTCTATTAACTAATCTCTGTCTTTGCTAATAGCCAAAGACATTTTTCTCTACAAAAATATGAGAAGCTTGTCTAAAGACATAATAAATAAAATACTTTTCAAATGAAAATGACTATAGAAAAAAAATATCATTTTTCATGCACTATTACTCTAATACACTCTTATAATAAATACTGTTATCAAATATACATATTATATGAGATTTAGAAATAAATGGTATATTGATTTATGATTATGAGTTGTAAATAAATATTATAAGTTATTATATGTGTATATAATGATAACTCATAAAAAAATTAAGGATACTAGAGTCTATATTTTAAAAACACTTGCAAATACCTTGAAAAAGTTGTATTTGATGACTGATGTCGACCAGAGCCAAATGAATTTTTTTTTCCAATTGATGATTTTGAATTGTTTTCAGTACTTCTTTGCCTTAACTGTGCATTTAATAACTGAAAGGCACTATCCTACAAAGTGAAAAAAATTATTAAATTAATACTGTAAAAATAAACATGTATGTTAAAAAAAGCTACATTAATAAAAACTTTTATAAAGAATTAACAATAAATTATTTTCAGGAAATAACTAAATGAATAATATCATTGATTAAATGAATATGAATTTATACACAGTGTAAAAGGAAATTAATATAATATATTAATAATTTATAAATACAATATATAAAAAAGTCCACAAATTGAAAATATAATAAAAACATTTGCTTTAATGGAATATGAAAACTTAAATCAATTTGAGCATTTTCAGATTACATCATTGCAAATGTTTAGAATATGAAATACTGTTATTGTGAAAACAATAATTAGTACAGGATTTGCTAAGGTATAGTTTATATATTCTAGAGGATTTAATTAATATAAGATGATTTACTACAATGTGATCACTGCAATCCTAATATATATAAAAGAATTTAAAATTATAGTTTTAAAAATAAACTAACAAAAAATAGCATAAGTTAAATAAATGATAAAAAGTGGATCTACACCATTTTAAATGCTGTTAAGATTTGAAATTAAAAACTTTAAAGCAAAATAATGCTGTACTACACACTGATAGTATAAATAATAGCTAATTTAAATTGAGAAGAATTGGTAATACAACTTAAGCTTTTTTTTTTTTTGTGCACACTTTTAAAAGATCTGCTGATATAATGATTCAAATAAAAAAATGCAGCTTTAATATGCATGAAAAGCATTAGAAACAGAATTCAGTGAAAGTGGGAATTTTAGACAGAAAAAAAAAAAAAAAAGGCAAATGCAAACAACATTTTATTAGCAGAGAAAAATTATCCAAACATTAAAAAATTTAATTGCAAAATTAGGTAATATAAATTTAAGTTTTATAGTATCTTTTTATTTCATACTGATTTAGTTTTTCTTGTATGTCATGACTTATTATTAGGTAAATTCTAATTATTTTTTACATAAATAAATAAATCTTGAAAAGAATCATAATTTTTCCCATTAAATATAGTCCTTGAATAACATGAATTCGATCAGTGTAGTAATACTAAACAGTTCTTATACTTCATTAAAGTATATATTTTTATTGTATTTTACTGTCTACATAAAAGTTCCAAAATAAACTGAATTCCTAATTATGAAGATTGATTATGCAAATATATATCGTAAAATACAAAAATTTTCCATATCAATATTATAACATTTTAAATACAGATAATAGAAAACTTACATAAAGGTTCAATTTTACAGACATTTGCATTATTGATTTGTATTTATGCCATTGATTTAACATAAATCAGTGATACAAAAATATCAGAAATAAATAGTTTCTAAATAATTTATAAAGGGAATAATAAAACAATATTAAAACAAAATAAAATGATATTTGAAAATATTTTATTTTTATTATTTTAACTTATGAACACTTCAATTTTTACCTAATTCTACTGTAACCATATGGATTTTGGTTAAAGTTGTATTAGTAGTTAATTATAAAATGTTTTTCTAAGAGTGAATGTAATCATATTACAAATGCTTTGAGTCACTTAGGAATAACAACTGATTTAACATAAACAACCAATGCAAAAAGAAAAAGGAAATACATTTTTTCATATTGACTAACAAAAGTTTATTTCTGAATTAAGCTTTGTTGGACAGATTCTGGGATCATTTGAAAAGTATCTGTAATCTGATAATTAGATGTTGATACTCAGTATTGACTTTTAGTAAAAGATAATTATTTTTTAAACATTTCATTTGGAGTGTTTAAACTGATATTTGATTTCTTGAAAACATCAGTAATATATCCAAATAATTAAAAAAAATCCAGCAACAAAGTTGCATAACTTTCCTAGCTATTATGCGATCTTATTTATAAAATAACTTTGTTAGGAGTATTAAGTACTGGGGTTGGAAGTTTTGGAAGAAGTTTTGATTAAAATAACTTTTATAATTTTAATTACAATATAATTTAATAAAATTGTGTGGGGTGCCATACGTTATGAGATTTTGTTATAAAAACTTATTATGTTTTTAATTACTATAAAATGGCAAAAAGCTTAATTTTGAGGGTAGGGATGATTTTTATAAAGAAGTATAAAATATTCATAATGAATAAAATCATCATTAAGTCTGATCCTAATGGAAATACACACGACCTCCTTTATCTCCCCACCCATCAACCTTTAACCAACAAAATAGCATCAATGCCCCTCATATACAAGCCACCATGCCAAATTTCATCCTGAGATATTAAGTGAAATAGACACCAACACCTACACATGGAATTTTTCCCCCAATTTTTTTGGATTTATCAGGTCTCAAAATGTGGAGATTTATAAAAAACTAGGAGGGTTAAATTTGATATGATTTCAATATTTTCCCTTATGTATAGTAACTTAACAGATACAATTTGAATAGAATTGTATAAATAAATAATTTGGATACTTTAACTTATCAGTTAATATGTCATTTGGATATAATATCAAGTTTCAATCATTTAATTATATCACAACTAAAAATTTATGAAACAAAATAGCATAAAATAGCATTACATCTAATTTGTTGTTTTCTCTATAAAATAATAATACTAATTAAATACTTGATAAATATAGTAAATAAATATAACAATAAAATATACAATACTTCTTCAAAAATTAATATTACATTTAAAATTTTACAATGATACTAGAGACCACTTCTGATTACCTTAAGTGAATCCAATCTCAGCATTTTGTGTTGCTCTCCTAATCTGTACTGCAATTTATCATAGTTGTTTACAAAGCAATATTAATTTTATACAGTTAATTCACATAAAAACAAATTGCTAGGGGAATACTAGTTAGTTCACTTTATTGAAAATTTGCATGAACAATTTTCAGGGTCAAGGTCAAATAATTTACAGAGTTAAGACTCAATAAGTAATTGAAATATCTAATTTATAATATTTTGAATTAATTTACTAAATAAAGTTAATAAAATTATTTACAAAAGCAAATTAATGTTTAAATGATTTTCAAATTAAACAAAATGAGGAGGAGATGGTATTCACTGTTGAAGTGCATAGCAGTAAATCAGAGTGGTTAAACAAAGCTAAAAGAAATAGGAGTTTTTTTCTGTTGAAAATTGCTTGAAAAAGTAGAAAATATTTTTTGATGTCAAGAGAGTGAAAAAGTAGCCAAACCTTGCATTATTGTATGTGTTCTCCTATATGCAAACTAACACGTTTGAACGGGACAGCATCCATTTAAAGGGGATAGGCATTGTTTACCCCTCATTTCTGAGTACAGTAGAATGGTCTGCTAAAATCAGGTGTTTGAATTTCTATACAATTGGATGTCAAACATGCCTTTGCTTACTAAGAGAAGAAAATATATTCTACTCAAAATGGAACATTTATTATACTTTAATTTTTTATTGTTCACATCAAAAAGTATAAAAAGCAACCACTATTGGAAACAGTTATATTTCTTGTTTGTAGTTTTGAAAGTAATATATAGTTTGGTTTAATGAATTCTAGTAAAATTTTTGTTTACTTTATTGCATGAAAATTAATGTTTAGACAATGATGTTTTACCAGGGCAACAACATATTGTGCTATAACATGAGAATTTGTTTTACTGATGTTTGTTTTAAGGTGAGTTGACTCTATGTACTAATTAATTAACTGTAAATAATAAATTAAAAATTTAATAAGGAATAATCAATAGTAAGATAAAATACATATATATTTAGCATCCACAGCCTTCTATGGCTCTCAGCCTACTTATGCTTTTATCCCAGCATGATTTTATATATATATATATATATATTGAAAATAATGCAGAGTAAATTAACAATAATAAACATCTTTAAAAATATAGCCTGATATAACAAACAGCCAGCAGCCAGATTCTTTATCGGGCTACCTTTAAGACAAATTAATTATTAGATAATTTTAGAGATGAGCAGTTAAGCTGTCATTTCATGTTAAATTTTAATCATTAAAAATAAATTTGGCTGTTCATTTGATATTTAAATTAATTATCAAATTGAAACTTTGTTATATATATATATAAAATCATGCTGGGATAAAAGCATAAGTAGGCTGAGAGCTATAGAAGGCTGTGGATGCTAAATCATCCCCAGTTGGCCCTGTGAGTAACCTGTAAAACTGTATCTAGATCCAGGTATTGTAACTGGCAATGCATCTGCAAAGTAAGCAGAAATTGCAGGTTTGAGTCCTGCTCTGGACTAATCTTTTCCTCAGAATATTCTAAATTAAAAATTTATTTATTTATAATTATTATTAAATTTAATATAATATGGTGGCTCCATTATCTATCTCTAGCCAAATTGCTTAATAATTAATTAGCCTTAAAGCAGCCTGACGAAGAATCTGGTTATTCATTTGATATTTAAAAATAGACAGCTAATACTTAAATTAATCAGTCACTCATACTGTATGATGACATCCTTCTTTGATACTTCATATTGAATAATATACAGTACTTTAATTTTTCAAGATTTCAGATTTTTCTGCTGATGTACTGTACTGGACATTCACTTTTGCATCATTTTGTTTTTTGCAAGATGTCTGTTCTATTCAGTTTTAAAAAGTTTTTACAGCCTTATCCCAATGGACAAGGGTCGAATGAAAAAGGACATGCCAATTACTCAAAACTGCTCAAATAGAAGGTACTCTTACAAAATTCCATTCCAGAACTGTTTTAAAGAGCTATTTCCACTCAATATGCTTCAAAAGATGCTTTATTTTAATAAATGTTCCTCTGTTCTAAAAGTTCTTTTCATTCTAAAAGTTTAAATGTTTAATTTATTTAATAAACTTTATTCATACAAGTGATGTCAACTGCTGAGTGCATCACAACAACAATAAAATAATACTTAAAAGTCAAAATTAAAGAAACAGTAATAAATTATTTCTTTAGATATTTTTTATATACATATTTACATATAGACAAATAATAAAACAAGTTATTATTTTCAGACATAAGATATACAGTATTTATCAGCATCATCATCATCATCATATGAAATTATGGAAATATTTAACTGTCTACAAACAAATCTTGAAATTTGAATTTTTAATGATTTCTGCACGTAATGTTTAATTTGAGGAGTCAAACTGTCAGTTAAAAACTTAAATTTATATTTATGAATGTTTTGTTGACTACAATATAATTAATTAGATTAAATTAAAGATTGAGTTTAATAATAGTTAAAGTATACAAAAGATTACTTTTAAATGAGTAGATACTAAAAATAATTAAAATTTTTCATTTTCTTTATTGCATTCAAAATAACTCAATTAAAATAGTTATAGAAATATATTACCTGATAATTTTTTGAAAGTTGATTCAGCAGTATAGAAAATTCTGGAGCATTCAAACTAAACAGAGCTATTAATATTTCTTCTCCTAACTACAAAAATTATTTTTACAAACCTTTAATAAAAAGTAC